AAATCTGGACAACCAATTGGGATCCCATATGTTTGCGGCAGCTGGTCTGGACACCGCCTTACCAGGTGTTGTTTTCCTCATCCACCGACGGCACTTGCGTAACGTCAAGATCTTCACACGCATAAGCGAGCGCACCGCCTACATCGACCTCAACATCTCAACCTCTAAGCTACGAGTTGCAACGGCGTATTTCCCACACTCCGGATATTCCGACACCCATGTCCAACATATGTACGAATTTCTGACTACGATTCACGACGAGGTTGGCCGCCAGAAACGCATTACAATCATTATTGGGGATTTTAACGCACAGGTCGGCACAGAACCCAACAACATGGACAATGAGCTCGACCTTGGCACGAAGCAGAGGCTGACCGTGGGAACGCATGGAATGGGGAAGTGCAACGCACGCGGGTCATGGCTCAGAACATGGGCAAGCGCAAAACGCATGATCATCACAAACATGTTCTTCTACAAACATCATCGTTATATCTTCACGTGCACCGGCAATGGAGACAACCCGACCCAGTCACAGATCGATCACATACTCCTAGACACAACGTGCCGCAACCAAAGCATAGAATCGCAAGCCACCAGAACCCCCGACCTCGGCTCCGACCACCAAGCCGTATGCCTGAAGATTGTTCTCAACATTTGCGCGGGGAGGAAGCGGAAGAAGAGAAAACGTGGACTCAACCATCGACCGCCGCACCCACCCGCCGCCGACCCTCTGTACCAACAGCGTTTGCAGCGGCAGCTTGTCAACGACGGCAGCACAAGTAGCATTGACGGTAGATGCAACAACACCGGCGACGCACTCGACCAAGCCCACAACCACTACGACGCACACCGAGAGGCAACTCTGCAACACCAAAGACCATCTCGCCCCAGACCAGGAATTCCGAGAGCTCATCGAACAACGACGCAGCACACCACACCAAGACACAGCCACTCGGACTACGCTCAGCAAGTTCATCTCGAAACAACTCCGACACATCCGAAGCACACTCACGCACGCCAAGCTGAAGGTGATCGTCTGCCAGTTCAGGAGCTTAAGCAAGATTGCCGGACTGAAACCATCAAAACGCAAAGACATGATCGCATCAATGACGACCGACACCAGCACTGCGGGCACGGACAGACAGGACATCGCGAACATGTTTGCAGCTTTCTGCGAACAAGTTCACCGAGACCATACGCACCGTTCACCGCAGACGAACGTCGACGCGCCATCAGACAACTAAAGAGCGGCAAATGCAGCGACACCGCGGGATTCACAGCAGAATGGTTCAAAGGAGGCGGAGAAGTCCTTGAGCGGCAATTGCTACAGCTCTACAGTGATACAATCAAACTGGACCAGACACCACCCGAACAATGGAGAAAGACAACGATCAATGGTCGTTTCCAAATCCGGTGACCCCAAATTACGACACAGTTGCAGACCGATTGCTAATATCCCGCTGCTGTACAAACATATGCCACGCTTCCTATGCAACCAGTTGGAGGCCACATGTTGTTCACACCAGAGCACAGAACGGGCCAGCTTCAGGCGAGGCTTCAGCACGGAAGACCACCTTCACCACGACAAGGTTGCACGAGAAATCGCACGCATGGCAGCTGCCCTTGCGGGCGGCAGCGATCGACTTCAAGGAGGCCTTCGATTGCGTAGACCACGATGCGTTGTGGAAGGCCCTACAACGACAGCAAACACCGCACCCATACATTGATGTTCTGCGACTCTTGTGCGACGATTAGACAGCCACTGTCAGAGCCGGCGCTGCCAGCAGAAGCTTCTGCTTTCCGCGGGGGGCGAAGCAGGGCGGCCCGCTCAGCTCCCTCCTCTTCACTGCACTGCTAGAACATGTGCCCAGACAGCTCAAGCCCAGCTGGCGCCGAAGAAACTTTTGGCATCAATCTTGGTTTTGCCCGCGAGACCAGCATCGCGAACCTACGCTGCACAGACGACGTTCTCTTGTGCGACCCGAACCTACGACAGCTCACCTGTTCTCTGCGGGACCTCGCGAGAGAGGCATCAAGCTGCGGACTTTCGCTGCACCCCGGCAAGACCGAGGTACTCACAAATGACAGGCGGACGAAGGGGAGAACAATATCGCATATAATTTTGGACGGAGCGCATATCGACATCCTACCTTCCGGTCAGAGTGCGAAATTCTTGGGGGGAAAGCTGTCGTTTCACGCGTCCCATGCCACCGAGCTGCAGCACAGGATCGCGAGTGGATGGTCCAGGTTCAACAAAATGCGACCTTAGCTCACACACAAGCGGCTTCCATTACACAGCTGATTGAAACTCTGCAACGGCGCAATAACGCCGAGCGCCATGTATTGTTATTCCTCTTGGGCCCTCGCAAAAGGCATGCTGGTCACATTGCAACGGGAGCAGCGAAAAATGCTTAGACTTGTCATAGGCACCCCCAGCAGAAGACACGCGGCAGAACAACAACAACACCGACACCACTACCGACAACAACGACACCAACGCCAGCTCCGACAGAGCACAGACAACGACGTCAGCACAGGCGACAACGGTGGCAACGAGTTCGAATCTTGGTTCATTTTATTCGTAGAAGTACAACCACCGCCATGGCACTGGCGAGACGTGCACGGGTCGAGTATTGGATAGACATTTATTGCGAGCGCAAGTGGCAACGTGCTGCTCGCGTCGCCAACCGCGATTTCGACAGATGGACACGACTGAGCGCGAGCCAGGACCCGAGTTTACACGGCCGACGACCCACTGTTCGCTGGCACGGGGGGCAGAAGAAGTCTTGGGACGACGACATCGTTTCATTTCAACATTCGGAGACAACGCACACAGCGATACGCATTGGCGGGAACTCGCTCAAAATCGACAATGGTGGGACAATTGAGGAGAGCACGTTCTACAATCTACGCGTTGTTTTATCCACTCTGGCCACTACCCTTGAGCATACCGACTCTTGTTATTGTCTCTCCGACTTTTGCTCCTGCCGCCAGGCTCTCCCATTTTCAGGCTCTGGTACTTGTCCTTCCGACTCGTGCTGTCTTCTCTCCGACTCCAGCTCTTGCCACCGCGATTGGAGTTCCGTGCAGCATTTCTCCGATTTCCGCGCCTATCTTTCCGACTCTGTCTGCTCAGCCTCAACAAAGCTACGAGGACGGGATGGCATCTTCCAGAATCACATATAAAAAACACCGGACCCACGCTCCTTCTTGCCGGTCGCCCCTCCGACTCCGATCCCGACTCCCGACTCCTGCTCCGACCCTCCCACCTCCTCCCTCTTCTCCCACCATACTGTCGTCGTCGTCCTCCTCCTCCTCCTCTCATCCTTCTTCGCCTCCTCCTCATGTTTCGCCTTCGCCTTCGCCTTCGCCTCCTGTTCCTCCTCCTTCTCCTCCTCCTCCTCCTCCTCCTCCTCCTCCTCCTCCTCCCGATCCCTCCGATCCGAGGGCCCGGGCCCCCCCCGCGCTGCCATCGCAGGGCCGGGCCCCGCCGGACCGACAGCGCGCGCTCGCCTCGCCCTGCCACGCCACGCCTCGCCCCGTCCGCGCCCCCCTGGCGGTGCGCTCTCCAGGCGCCGAGGAGGGGAGCAGGCACTCTTTGGGAGGGGGCGCCCTCGAAACGATTACTTTCATGAAAACGCGTGCAAGTTTTATGCGTGCCGGCAGCGCGTCCGACATTCGTAGCGATACGTACGCTCGTAGTGGCGCATATGGATGTGATATCGGCCCGGATGCCGAGGCCGAGGAATCATTCTCGCATCGCGTTGTTTTCGGGAAGTCTTGACGGGGCATGAGTTTGACGCTTTCGCTGAAATCGTGATAAGGGTGTCAGTGATAGTAGGGGGTAACGAGGGAGGCCTTCCTGATCAAGAGGATGAGAAAGAGATCGGCAGAGCGGGCAGCAGAGCAGGACAGGCGAGGATGCCGAGGATTTGGTGGCTCGAGTGACGTTGTTTCGGTCGCCCTTTGCTACCGAATGCTTGAGATCTCTTCCATCCCTACGACGACCTGCCCAAGGAACGCAGCCGTCGAGAAGCGATTGGGGAAGTCTTTGTACTTTTCGACGGGAGGTTGAGCTGACCGCAGTCATGTTCCGCGTTGTGGGCTGCCGCGTGCCGCGTGCGTTTTCGCCACCTGACGCTCAGTATTTCCATGACATTCTGCAGACATTGAGGTTTGATGCGAGAGCGCTGCAACAGTAAGATGAGGCGGGGACGACGGAGGATGAGGAGGAGTGTGGAGGGCTGCAGGCGATGATGACGAGGAGGGGGATGAGGCGGATTAGGTTCGAATTTGAAGAGGGGGATGACAGGGGTGGAGGATACTGACGATGGGCAAGTGGGAAGAGGAGAAGGAGGAGAAGTCCGAGGAGGAACAGGATAATGCACGGCGGGCATAGGACAGGGAGACGTCGTTGCAGAGCGTCCTTGGAAGTTGTCAGCGGAGAAGGCGGAGGAGTAGGAGGAGGAGGAGGAAAAAGAGGAGGAGGAGGAAGAGGAGGAGGAGGAGGAGGAGGAGGAGGAGCTGCGAGAAGGAGCGAGGAAGATAACGAGGATGAGGAGGAAAACGAGGGGCGATGGAATGGATCATGAGTTGGAATAGGCGGTTCAGGAGGAGGAGGAGGAAGAGGAGGAGGAGGCTGAGGAAGGGCGAGGAGGGTGATGGGGCCAAGGGCGCCGAGCGAGGACTGCCGCCGAGGAGCGAGGCTCGGCGAGCAGGGGCGCGGACGAGAGAAGGGTGGGGCGGCCGACTGGCCGTCGTAGCCTTGTGGGGGCCTCCGCCCCCGCCGCCTGTGAGGCCCACCTGACGGCCAGGGAGGCCAGCGACCTCTTCGACGTCATCGACAAGGACCGCGGGCGTGCGGTCGGGCTGCCGGCGGGCGGCCCGCACGTCCGTGCTGCCGCAGGCCTCGACACCCGCGCGGCGTGGAGCGAGTCCAGCGCGACCCCACGAGGGGGCTTGGCGTTGCTCGGCGGTGCTCGGCAGTGCTTGGCAGTGCTTTGCGTTGCTGGGCTTTTCTGAACCGTGCTTGGCGTTGCCTGGCGTTTGCTCAGCGCTGCTTGACACCAGACCCAGCACCCCCCCGGGTGACGCCACTGCCAGGAAAGGAAACCTGGCACCCCCCTGACACGTCACAAGAAGGAAACAAGATCTAGCCACCCTGAGGAAGACGACTGCGAGGAATCAAAACAAAGCAACCCCAGGGAACGCTGGTAGAACGAAGCAGGACTCCAGGGAATCCCAGGGAAGGCGTCTGGCACCAAGCGGCTTTCTACATGAGCAAGTAAGAGATCCTTAGGCCAAGCCCACGGGCGAGAAACCCGGGCAACCGGGCAACGCAGTGTACGAAAAGAAGGCAGCCCGGAACATTTGGGCGACGACCGCGTCTGGCACCCACCGCTTCTGTACAAACGAGTAAGCACACCTCAGGCAAAACCGAAATTGAGAGAACAACTAGCAGGGGCAACCCCAAATGACCAAGGAACCGAGATCAAGGAACCAATGAGCCAATACCAAGGAACCAAGACAAAGAAACCGAGGAGCCAAGACCGAGGGGCCGAGGAACAACGGAACCAAGGAACCAAGACCAAGGAACCGAAGTACTAAGGTCAAGGAACCGAGGCGCCAGGACCAAGGAACCAAGTGACCAAGACCAGGGGCCTCAGAAACTAAGACCAATGAACTCCGCAAGCAAGACCAATGAACCAAGACCAACTATCCAGGAAACGTGACTGCGGAACCCCGGAAACCCCACTGTAAGGAACCAAGACCAAGCAAGCCCAGGGATCCTGGCGACGACCGCGTCTGGCATCCACCTGTTCTCCACAAACATGTAAGGACCCCTGCGCAAAGTCCAGTTCGGAACAATCGCGACGGAAGCTTTCTGGCAGTTCTCGACCACGGGGCCGTTTGCGGGGCCCCTGGGACCCTCACAACAACCAGGCGGGGTGAAAAGCCGCCCCTGGGAAGGGGCCCAGACCTCCAGGGCCCCATCGTGCCGTAGACGGGCGAACGGCGATGTAGGTTATGGCGATGTAGGCTTCGGTCGTGTGGCAACGCGCGGCTCGCGCTTTCCTGCACTTCGCTGTGTCGTGCTCGCTCGAGGCACTCGCAGACTGGAGGTGTAGAGAAGTGTGGCCCGCGAGTTCCGACACTCGGGTCCCGAACGTCACCCCGAAGCAGCATCGCCGTGAGCCCGGCCTCGGTCGTGGCAAGACGATCCCGGCGCTCTGCACGCCCGAAATGGGTACTGAAAGAATGGGTACGATGCCCAACAGCAGCTCCTGTTCATTTTGAACAGGACTCGCTGTCCGCGCCGCCGCGGCCTGTGTCCATTCGAGACAGAAGGCCGCCTGCCCAACAGCGGCCGCTGTTGGTTTGGGACAACATTTGCTGTTGGGCATTGTACCCATTCTTTCGGTACCCATTTCGGGTGCCCAAAGGCGCCGGAGCTCTGGGCTGCAGGGGCCCGCGGCGCAGACGCGGGGGGCCTCTGGGAAGGCGGGGGGCGGCGTTCTCGCAAGGGCCACGGGGGCTGCGCCGCAGGCCGGAGCCGCGGCCGCCCTCGCCGGTCTCGCTTCTCGCAGGCCTGGAAGGGCCCCCCCCCCCCCCCCCGCGACGACGACGAGCGAACCACGATCGGGGGAGAAAAAGATACGGATACGTGTCGTCCCCCTTCGTTTTCGGCCTTTCCTGGTCCTCCTGGGGAGTCCTCGTTGTCACCGCTGGATTCGCCTCGAAGTTCTGGTCAGAACGCACCCCAAGAGAGGTCCGGGGACAACGCGTATCCGCATCTTCCCGCCCCCCAAGAACCACACGACGACCGCCGCCCGCGCGCGCCCGGCTCAAGCCCTTCGCAGAGCTCTGCGGCTAGAGGGGCCGAGCGAACTCTTCGGGTGCAGGGGGGGGCTCGTGGGCCGCAGGGCCTGGCTGGGCTGGAACAGGGGGACAAGAAGTGGCGTAAACATCAAAACTCGGAGGTCCGCGCGGATGTCTCGGATCCGCGCTGGACCCCCCTGGCGGCGCCTCCGGCGCCGCCCCTGGCGAGCTCCGCGCGCCAGGGAGGGGGGGTCCAGCGCCGATCCGAGAAATCCGCGCGGACCCCCGAGCTTTCATATGTTCATGCCACGATTTGTTCCCCTATGGAAGGGCCCCGGGGCCTTCTCAGAGGCCCCCGGCCCTCTCCGCAGGCCGCCCGCCTCGCGCCGCCGCCTCCCCGTGCGCGCCGCCGTCGGGGGGCGGACGCCTCGAGGTGAGGTGTCCGGCCCTCGCCGGGGGTCTTCGGGGGGGGGGGGCGGCGTCTTGTGGCCATGCCTGGGCTTGCGATGCTCCAGCCTACTTTAGCTTTGAGCACCAGGAAGCATTTCGAGCGCCCCAAAAAGCACCGAAACCCAAGGGTTTTCACGTGTCGGGCCCTGGGGGACACGCCCGACACTGTTTTGACACTGTTTCGAAATTATGTTGTCACTTTTCCGGGTGCTCGAAATTATTTCTGGGATGCGGTCCTAAAGTAGAATGGGAACAACATAAGCCTTGGCGCAGCTGAAAGAGGTTGGGTGGCTTTGGGCGAGAAGTGGTCTGTCGTCAGGCTTGCGCCACCCAGCCCTTCGACGACGGCGTTTTTTTGTTTTGGTTGCTTGTGTTACTGAATTCGCCCCCCCGAAAAAAAAGAGTACGCAGCAGTCAGCCAAGCGACGAGGACCAGGAGGGCAAGGCGGAGGAGCATGATGAGGATGAGGAGGTTCAGAGCGCGAGTTGCCTACCTCGCGCTCGGCTACAGACAAAACCAAATCATGCCACGCGCCTCCTCGTCGAGATTGGTGCGGGCCGTAGCTAGGTATCGTTTGGTATTTTTTGGAGGCGAGGGTGGTCAGAAACGAGGTCGGTTCGTTTGCCTCACCGTGAGGTTTGGCCTGGGTGTGTCGGTTCGTGCCGTCGGGGTGAGGGCCTGGGCTTCCTTGCGGCATGGCGGCCGGTCGAGGCCTGGCCAGGCCTGCTATCCGCCCGAGATTTGCCAGTCGAGGCTTCGTTTCCTGCCCATGAGCGTTCTTTCATATCACCGAGCGCGTTCCACTACTCGCAAAGTGCCTACTCGCAAACGTCCAAACATACACACCTGCTTTGCTGTAATTTATCGTAGACCCCCCGCGGCGGATCCAGGCCATTTGCGAGTAGGTATTTTGCGAGTAGTGGAGTGCGCTCGTCTATCGTTGAACCTCTTGATGCTGCGCTGCCTCGCTGGTAGCCACACGGTCGGGAACGTTTGCTCGCTGCGGCACGCGAGGCGGCAGCTCTTGGCCGAAGGCCCGCCCTCCTCCCAGGGCCCTCCTGGCGGCGCCCTCCAGGCAGCGGTTCCCCCTTCTTGCTCCTCTCGGGGGCGGGGCTCTGGCGCACCACGGCCGCGCGGAGGGGCCAGGGGCCCGGCTCACCGGCCCTGGCCCTGGATCTTTCGGCACGGCGCCAGGGCAGCTTCACTCCACTGAGGAAGAGGGGGTACCGATGTTGCTACAGTCAAAACTCCTAGTATGGACGCACGGGTGTCCTCAGGGTACCCTTGCGTCCTTGCCTCGTCGGCCCGCCCGTCCTTCGCGGTTTTCACTGGCCACCCTTGAAGGGTTCTGGCAGCCCGCCGCTTAGAGAGTGCCAACTTCGGCGTCCAAGGCCCTTGCGTCCTTACCGCCCGTCCTTCCTATAGATTTCGACTGTACCACTCCCTCGTCGCCACTGCTGGATTCGTCTCGAACTCGCCCCCCCGGAGAAGTGTGGGGAGTAGGCGCATCGGTCCCCTGTTCTTTCCCGCAGACACCGGTCGGACTTCGACTGCAGTGGCCACGTCAGATCAGAGACCTGCTTGCCAGCAGGTGCCACATACCCCGATGGCTCCAGAGACCTCAATGGCGTCCTGTTGCGCTCCAGGATGTTACAAACATTGGCGAAGCGTGTGCTTTCGTTTGGTTCAATTCAAGCGGGACTCTTCGTCCTCGTAGTGTATAATAACGAGGACACCAGCGGATCCCACCTTCGGGGTCCATCGCTGGCCGGGGTCCACGCGATGGTGCGTCCGAGGACCGTCCGGGTCCCAGGACCGTGCGTGCCCTCTCGAGGAGAGTGCGGCCCGTGTCTCGACGCTGGTGAGTTTGAGGATCGCTTCAAGTGCAGTCCATGCGTGCACGCTCGAGGATTTGCCTTAGCTGCATCCCGTGCTTGCCCGCTCAAGGATGTTGCGTGACAGGTCCAAGATCCGCACGCGCACTTTTTGTTGCTAGCGTCGACGAGAGGGCTCCAAACGTTGAATGGTAACAACGGCCCACACATAACACACGCACACGCACACACCGCCTGTTCCTCCTCCTTCTCCTCACTCTTCCCCCTCCTCGTACTTCGATTCCCACTCCAGTCGATTTCTAAAGTTCTGTTTGTTTTTTTTCGTAAGGCACTTTTGGCCAAGGCACCTGCTGAATCAAGAAGTGTGGCGTTCAAACCTTTGTTAGCAGGAGCAGGAAATTATGTGACCGCCCCCCGGCCAAATTTAATCATGCCAAGCTTTTGTGTTCGCTTAGCAGGGAACATGGGGCAGTTGCATCTCCCAACAAAAACTTCGATAGTTGCGTAAAATTCCGCGCAACTTGACTACACTAAGAGCTTCCTTTGGGAGGCTGCTCGGGTTTGTTCCACTACTTCCACCACTACGACTACTACTACTACTACTACTACTACTACTACTACTACTACTACTGCTACTACTACTACTACTACTACTACTACTGCTACTACTATTACTACTGCTACTACTTACTACTACTAACACTACTACTACTACTAACTACTACTACTACTACTACTACGATTACT